CAGACAGGGAGGGCTGGCCTCCGTGGCTGTCCTGGGGGTGAGGTGGGGAGGTGTCATGAATAGCTTTTAGTTGCAAGTCCAGCCTATGTGGCAATTTTGAGAAGAGATTTTCCAGGCAGACAGACTTTCGGGGAGGTCAAGCCAGCACCCCAAGGATGCACAGCCCCGAGTCTCTCTTCCCAAAGTAAGTGAGACACCAAGGATTGAGACCCGGAGATGCTGACTGAAGCCATTGGCCACCCTGTCCCCGAGGGAGACACAGCGGCTCCTCACCCCCAGCTCTCCCGGGTGCTCCCTGTGTCCCACACCTGTGCCAGCCCCACCGCTGCCCGCTGGTTCCTGTCTGGACCTTTGTAGGGTGAGAGCCTGAGTCACCGGCCCGGAAGCCTCTCCTTGGGGACAGGACCTGTTCCACTGTGTGAGAAAACATGAGGTCAGAGCCCAGCCCTTCAGACACGCTCACAACTTCCTGGCCACATCAGGGGAAGCCGTCCAGACCCACAGGGCCAGGCTCTGCCTCCCGATCTCCTGCTCGCTCTGACCGCCTTTGCCCACGGACCTCTGTGGCTCCCACCTTCCTCAGGTTCTAAGTCCAAGGCCCAGGCCCTGCAAGGCCTCTGCCCCCTCCCTCCTCCCCCCGCCCCGCCCCCACGCCCTCGGCCTGTAACCTCTCTGCTCTAACCACAGAGATCTCCTGGATCCTCTCCCAACATGCCAAACGCTGGCCTGCCCCAGGACCTTTGCACAGTCTTGGCACTTTCATTTTCCAGGCTCAACTTAGATGCCACCTCCTCAAGGGAGGCCACCATGACCTCCTCACACACAGCAGTACCAAATGTTAAGTAGCGGCTCCCCACCGTGGGCACCTGGCCTCTTCTTCCTTCCTTCCTTCCTTCCTTCCTTCCTTCCTTCCTTCCTTCCTTCCTTCCTTTCTTTCTTTCTTTCTTTCTTTCTTTCTTTCTTTCTTTCTTTCTTTTTCTGCACATGACCCTCTTAGAGAAGAAATTTGCCCACTTCATGCCCAGAACTAAGACCATGTGTTTATTCTGATTTCTGGCTTTTAGGATTTTCTTTTATTTGACTATTTGGGTTCCTGGGATTGAACTCAGGTTGTTCGGCTTGGTAGCAAAGTGTCTTCACAAATTAACTCATTCTTTAGCCATGATTTTAGCCTTTTTCTTTTTGTTTTGTTTTGTTTTTTGATTTTTCGAGACAGGGTGTCTCTGTGTAGCTTTGCGCCTTTCCTGGAACTCGCTTTGGAGACCAGTCTGGCCTTGAACTCAGAGATCTGCCTGGCTCTGCCTCCTGAGTGCTGGGATTAAAGGCGTGAGCCACTGCAGTCTGGCTTGAAAAAATCTATATATGAGCATGTGAGCGCAGTGCTCTTGGAGGCCAGAAGAGCTGGAGTTACAGGTGGTTTTGAGCTTCATGATGTGGGTGCCAAGTCCTCGGCATGAGCAGCAGGTGCTTATAACCACCGAGCCAGCTCTCCACCCCCACCCCTCCCTCAGCCGGTCAGCTCTGTGCCTTTGAGGGAGAAGGTGGAGGCAGGGGAACCCTGTCACTCACTGGCCAGCTGGCGCCACCTACTTGGTGAGGTTCCAGGTCATCGAGACACTGTCTCAGGGGAAATGTGGAATGAGCTCAGGGGAGGTTGTCCTTTGCCCCACACTCTGCTGTGAATGTGATGAGAGTCGGAAGTCAGGGACTCCAGGGGCTCACAGCTGCAGAGGACCGCCCATGGAGGCGGGGAGTGGAGGCGGGGCTCACAGGGGCCTGCTCTGTCTCCTTCCTCAGGCCTGCTGTCCAGGATCCCAGCTGGGGGCGGTGCCCCCCAACAGTGAGGAGGCATTTCCCCACATCAGTTAACACAAGCACCCCAGACATCCCAGGAGATTCCAGATTCTGCTAGTTAACCATTAACACAGGTTGTCACTTACAAGAAAAGAAAGAGTTCCTTTGGCTGGGGCTCAGTGGGTGGAGCCGGCCCAGGGTCCCCAAGGTGCTGGAGCAGAGCATAAGCCAGCTGTGGCGGCCCAGGCCTCTCATGCTGCAGGAGGGTCAGGAGCTCAAGGCCATCCTCGGCTACATAGTGAGCTTAGGCCAGCCTGGGCTACATGAGGCCTGTCTCAACAACAACAACAACAAAAAACAGAAAGAGAGAGACAGACAGACAGAGACAGAGGGGTGGAGACAAGGAGGACTGTGGTGTTTCTAGTCCAGGCCCTTCCTGGCGGGTCCTCCTGACTGCAGCCAAAACAGCCTCTCCCGGGAGCTCCGGCCTTTGTCTGCAGTTTCCAGGACCCTGATGCCGTTTCCGGTCCTGTGGTGAGAGCCCTGCTCATCTCACAGACCTCTGTTTTGTCTGCACAGACCCACATCACCGCCTCCCCACCCTCTGTCTAGACCCCACACACTAGGCCTTGGTATGGCCCAGCTCCGACTCACTGTGTCTCCCCTGGATACAGAGCTTCTGGGTTTTTTGTTTGTTTGTTTTTTTGAGACAGGATTTCTCTGTGTAGCCCTGGCTGTCCTGGATCTCACTCTGTAGACCACGCTGGCCTCAAACTCACAGAGATCCGCCTGCCTCTGCCTCCAGAGTGCTGGGATTAAAGGCGTGTGCCTCAACCTTAACTTTTTTCTTTCATTTTTTTTTCTTTCATTTTTTAATTAAAAAAATGTATCTTTATGGGTCTGGCCTGCATCTGTCTGTGCACCTTGTGTATGCCTGCCCTGAGAGGCCAGGGGAGGGTGTCAGATCCCCTGCGACTGGAGTTACACTGCTGTGACCCCCATGTGGGTGCTGGGAAGTGAACCCAGGTCCTCTGGAAGAGCAGCGGATGCCCTTAACTGCTGAGCCGGTTCTCCAACCCCCCTTCCCCTTTTTGAAATTCATGTAGCCAAGGCTAGCCTCAAGCTCACTACGTAGCCCTGGATGATCCTGAACTACTGACTGATCCTCCTGCCTCTACCTCCCCAGTATTGGGATGGCAAGTGTGCACCACCACAGGGTTCATGTGGTCCAGAGGAAGGAAGCCAGGACCTCAGGCAAGCTGCAGGAGCGCTCTGCCCCGGACCACAGCCGCAGCCCGGAGGCCAATCCAAATATGCATCTAATAAAGTTATTTATTTGTGTGTGCCGGCGCGAATGTACGCTTTGGAGCACGTGGCGGGGAGCTCAGATGACAGCTTGTGGGGGTCAGTTCTCTTCCCACTCTGTGGGTTCCGCGGGTTAAACTCATGCTTGGCCACAAGCCCGTTTCCCTGCCGAGCCAGCTCTCAGGCCCTGCATGGTTGATATTTAAAATATTGTATGCATACCATATGTCAGGCTGGGACATAGTGTATATCGATATCGGTGGAGCACTTGCCCGGCGTCATGAAGCCCTGGATTCATCCCCAATATCGCAAATAATAATAATAATAATAATAATAATAATAATAATAATAATAATAATAATGAAATTAAAGAACCGAGAAGAAAGAGATACCTATTGCAGTGTTCTCTCCCCCGCCCTTTCCGGAAGCTGCGCGCGCAGAGACCTCATGAGGCCGCCAGGTGTCGCCGGCGCGCCTCTCACGCCAGGGACATTTCGCGCGCTCGGTGGGCGGCGCGGAGGAGGCGCGATGCGTCACCGCACTCGGGGGCCGGGGATCCGGGGAAACCGAGCTGCGCGGCCGAGGCCAGGCCCCAGGCTGGCGGAGGAGGGGACGCAGTGTGAGTCACCGGGAGCCCCCGTGCACCGTGGGAGAGTCCCACGCGGGGTCTGCCCGCCCGCCTCGTGTCCTTGCCGTCTGAGGCTGCTCCCAGCAGCCACGGTGTGGCTCCGAGCAGAACGCCCTCGGAAGCCTCAGTTTCCCTTTGCTCGCCAAATGCTGGACGAGATAAATGTCACGCGCGGCAGAGGGACCCGCGGCTCATGTTGCGCACTGAGAAAAAAGGCCGGGGCCAAAAGAGCGGCTGCCATGCAGACACCCTGTCCCGGGTGGGGGTGGGGGCAGCACACTCGCACTCTGCCTCGGTTCCCCGCAAGGGTCAGGTGTGGGGAAGCGGTCCGAGGCTAGACCCGGAGGCAGCCGGCAGGGGGCGGGGCCGCTCCGCAGGGCGCCTGCAGGCCTCTTCACCTGCGCCGCCTCCCACGCGCACCCCACCCTGAAACTCTCGGGGTGCCGGGAGGGAGAAAGGCTCCTGATCTCTTCGCCAGCGATCCTCCAGTGCTCTGCAGCCCCGGCCTCCGGGCGGGGGGACCCCTAAAGCCACCTACCCCCCGCCCCTCGCGCGAGCCGGCTGTGAGTCCTCAGAGCGCCGTCGCGGGAGAGGGGGGGGGGCGCTTGGTAGCTGTCACTTTGGGGTGAGGATCCCAGCGTCCTCGAAATTACAAAGCGCTTACTGAGCACCCTGGACGTGACTTAGAACACTCCCCAACCCTGAAAGATCGGGATTGCATTCGCAGGAGAAGTTCAGTTCACCCAAGGTCCGGGGTCTCCGAAGATGGGCAAGACCCCCACACACCCACACTGACACCCACAAAAAGTCGCCGTCCTGGGAGGGGTCGGGCTGCAGACGGGGCCCTGGGCCCATGCACAGCCCTTCCCTGCGCAGAGCCTGGGAAAGGCTGGGGACTCTCCCGGGACCGGGAGGGGATTCCAGACAGCCCTCCCCGAAAGCCAGGCCAGCCTCGCGCGCTGGAAACCCCGCGCGCGGCCTGCGTAGCGCGGCTGCCGGGAAATCAGGAGAGAAACTTCTGTTTTTTTGTGTCTGTGTGTGTGGTTTTTTTTTTTTTTTTTTTCTCGCTTTTCTGGCACTCGCGACTGCCCGGGTTCGCCCTCCTCCTAGCCCGGCGCCCCACGTGGGGCCAGGGCGCTTGAGCTCCACCCTCTCCATCCCCGGCCAATCGCAGCGCCGGCCAGTCAACTCTTTGTGTCTCCACCAATGGGAGGGCGGCGCAGGCCCCCCCGAGGCCACGCCCCCCAAGTGTGGGTTATATAAGCGGCTGCCGGCGGCCGCGCGCTCACTCCGCTGCAGACCCGGGACCTGCACCGCCTTCCGCATTCTTGGATTAATTTTCGTGGGGATTTTGCAATCTTCTTCTTTTTTGTTTTCCCTTTGCCTTTTTCTTGGGAAGGGAAGTCCCGCCGCCTCCGGAAGACCTTGGACGCTTCTGATCGCACGGGACGGTGTTTTTCCTTTGGGGTCGGATCTGGGCGCCTACCCTGCCCTCGGGGAGCTGCCGCGGGGGTCCGCTGTGGCGTGTGACTGCATCATGACGCTGGAAGAGCTGGTGGCGAGCGACAACGCGGCACAGAGGTGAGTACGGCGGGGGCCCGAGGTCCCGCCCGCCCGCCGCCCGAGGTCGGCCGGGCTGTCACCGGCTCATCGCCGCCTCTCCCTTGGCCTCTTAGGATGCAGGCGGTGACGGCCGCCGTGGAACAGCTGCTGGTGGCCGCGCAGCGTCAGGATCGCCTCACCGTGGGGGTGTACGAGGCGGCCAAGCTGATGAATGTGTGAGTCAGCACCCCCTTCTCCCGGGCGTGGGTGGGGGCGCCCCTCGGATGCACGCGCGCTCCCTGCACCCTGCCGGGCGCGGGGCTTCGGGGGACTTTCCCGGTGCGCTCTCGGTCCTGGGGAGCGGAGGGCGACATTTCAATGAGGGTTTCTCTTTTGGGGGGCGCGGGGGGGAGAGACGCGCTGCAGAACCCTGACGTTGCAAATGCCAGGGGTTTCATTACGCTTTGTTTTGACAAGGCCACCCCAGGCACTTGGAGCCGCGCGCCCCCTCCCCCACCGCCGTCAGCATTTGCATGGTGGCCACCGCGGCGACCGTGCAGCGCCGGGGGACGGGGTTACGGGGGGGGCGTGTCCTCGCACACTCCCGGTGCTCCGTGGGTCTCGTCTGCTTGCGCCCCTTTCCCGCCCGCGCTCTCCGCCCTGACAGCCCAGCCCTCTGTCCCGCAGGGACCCCGACAGCGTGGTGCTGTGCCTCCTGGCCATAGACGAGGAGGAGGAGGACGACATCGCCCTGCAGATCCACTTCACCCTGATCCAGTCCTTCTGCTGCGACAACGACATCGACATCGTCCGCGTGTCCGGCATGCAGCGGCTGGCGCAGCTCCTGGGGGAGCCGGCGGAGACGCTGGGCACCACCGAGGCCCGAGACCTGCACTGCCTCCTGGTCACGGTGAGCCCCAGCTCGCGCCCCGCCCTGGGCACCGCGGCCCCGTGTTTGTCAACAGCGCTGGGCGGGCTGGTCCGGCACCAGCTCACTGCCCAGCCACGCTCGGCATGTCCCGTGGGCCGCCTCGTCACCCGGGCAGCTATTTTGAGCCGGCCTGTTTTTCCTCAAAGGGGCCCCTGTGCGCTGGAGGGAGGCGCCCTACCGAACTCCTAGGGCTGCGACTAAACCCTTCCTTTTTGTCCCCTTCCACAGAACCGTCACACGGATACCTGGAAAAGCCAAGGCTTGGTGGAGGTGGCCAGTTACTGTGAGGAGAGCCGGGGCAATAACCAGTGGGTCCCCTATATCTCCTTGGAGGAACGCTGAGGCCCGCTCCAGACGTCTAAAGCAACTGTTGAGTTGCTGTCCCGTAAAAAAAGCAAATAAAATACGTGTTTGACCCCCTCCCCTCACCCCCAAGAACAATCCCTCCAGAGCCACCCTGCCCGCGAGACCTTCCGGGAGGGGCGGAGCCACCGAGACTGAGATGAGAGGGGAGTGAGCGCCCGCCCTCGGGGCCGTGGGACCCGGAGCAGCGCCGCAGGTGGTCGCCGAGACAGGAAGGAGGGGACCCCGGGCCGAGGAGACGGGGACCTTGGAGCCCAGGCCCGGGGGTCCTGCACGCAGCCGCGGCCGGGAGCGCGGAGGGTCGCGGCGTCCCCGAGCCCGGGGACAGTGAACTGTGCGGGGCGGAGGCGGCGACGGTCGCGCGGGAGCCGGGGCGAGCCCGGGGCGCCGCGACGCTGACGCGAGTCGACTTTGTTACTGTGCCGAGCGAGACAGGTCGCTTGCGTACTTTTCTAGGTTTCTACTGCAGAGACATTGTAATAAATTCGTTAAGCCTCCCTGCGCGCTCTCCTGGTGTTTCCTCCGCCCGCCGGCCCCCCGGGGACCCCCCCACCCCACCAGGTGCCGCGCGCGGCCACCGAGCCTCGTCGGGTCCCCTGCGCTCGCTCGGCGGCTCGAGACACCGCTGGCTCGGCTGCTGGCGCCGCCACCGACTCCTGCTCCCCAGCAATTAGCAGGCGGGTTTATTACGAAACCCGGCGGCCCGGCCCCCGGCTCCCCGCGGTGCTGGAGCCGGGCCCCGGGTCGGGGCGCACCGGGGAGGTGACTGCCGTCCCTCCCCACCCGACGGCCCGGACCAGAGAGGCTGCCAGGGCACCTGAGGCCACACAGCAAGGGTTCCCCGGTGGGGGGAGGTCCCCGACCGCCCCTGGGGCGCGCCCTTTTCCCACGCGCCCAAGCCGCCCTTCCCGGGACGGGCCCGGTGGATGCGCAAAAGGAAAAGAAGGGTTTTGGTTGTTTTTTTTTTTCCCATCCTTTCCCCGAGCTAAGATCAAGCCGTAGGGAAACACCCCGCGGAGGCCTCGGCACCCTCTGCATCTATCCAGACCGAAACCGCACCGCACGGCCCCTCCCAGGGCCTCCCTGCCCGCCCGGCCTCAGTTTACCCGCGACCTTTCCACCGAGCCCTTGGTGGGCGGAGGAAATCCCCAGGGGCGCCCTGGGAGTCACGTGCAGGAGGGAGAGCACCCGGAGGGGAGTCCCCGGGGTGGGGGAGGGGAGGGGTGGGGTAGCCACCCGCCGAGGTGCTCGCTTTCAAGAGCACTGCCCAGTGGCCCGGGGGCGTCGGGTTTGGGGGGGCGGAGGGTGAGGAGTCAGGCTTCGGGCTCAGCGGTCCCTGAGTGCGACCCGGGGACGGAGGTCACCACGGGGGGCGGGGGCACCCAGGCATTAGGGTGGGGACGCGAACGCACGGCGCCGGGGTGCGTGGGTGGGGATGGGGTCCCTGAGATGGTGCCTGCGGGACACGGAGCCCGGGGGGTCACAGGCGAGGCCTCCCTGGCGGTCTCGGTGTGGAGTATTGGGGGGCACAGTCTCTGCGTGACCTGCAGGTCTGCGCTGGCCCTGCCCTCCCCAGCCTGACCTGGTGGCCTCTGGGTCCCCAGCCCAGGTGCCCGCCCGACTCCCGGCACCGCGACCAACAGGAGTGGGCTGGGGGGGAGAACTGTGCTCCCACGCCAGGACCTTGCCTCAGTTTCCCCCCTCACACACGTCCCCCACGCCCAGGTCCGGAAGTCCTCCCGGCGCGGAGTGGCTTTGAACCCCTGGCTCCCTGGCTCCCTGGGTCCACGGCGCTCAGCCCTTCCTTCCCCGCACAGAGCTGCGCCAGCCTCCCCCCCCCCCAGAAAGGGAGGCCGAGGCTCAGGCTGGAGGCCACGGCCCGGAGTCTGGCATCGGGGGCGGAGGAGGGGCGACCGTCCGGGTCACCAGCTTGGGTCCTGTCCGGGACGGCTGCTCCCCTCGGGGACGCCGTCGTGCGCCAGGACACGTGGGTGTGTTCCTTGGACGTTAAGCAGGAAAAACTTGGCAAGGCGGGCTGCAGGCAGATGGGCGTGGCGCGCGCGCGCGCACGCCTGCACACGCGGACCCCCGGTACCGGGCTCTCCCGCGTGACAGGTGCGCGTCCACGCTGGGGGGCAGCCCTGGAACACAACCTTCCGGACGGACGGACACCCGCCCGCCTCAGCAGCCCACGGGGGGACACGTGTGGGAGGTCTTAGGTCTCCCCGAACCCCGCTTTTCAGGGGATGAGGGCGGCCTGAGCCTGTGCGGCTGCCGCCAAGGACCAGGCTGGGGCAGGCGCAGGGCGGATCAAACGCGGAGACTCTGGGAGAAACCATTCGAGAAGCTGCTTTAGTATTTAATCTGTTTTCCCAGGGTGAAAGGTCAGAGGTGGGGGTGATGCTGGGGTGGGAGGGAGAGGAATAGAGCCTGAAAGTGATCTGCTCTGTGGTCTTCACCCCTGACCACGCCCCCAGCCCCTCACTGGGGATTCTAGGCGGGGCTCCACCCTGACCACGCCCCCAGCCCCTCACTGGGGGATTCTAGGCGGGGCTCCACCCTGACCACGCCCCCAGCCCCTCACGGGGGATTCTGGGTGGGGCTCCACCCTGACCACGCCCCCAGCCCCTCACTGGGGGATTCTAGGCGGGGCTCCACCCTGACCACGCCCCCACCCCCTCACTGGGGGATTCTAGGCGGGGCTCCACCCTGACCACGCCCCCAGCCCCTCACTGGGGATTCTAGGGGGGCTCCACCTGACCACGCCCCCAGCCCAGCTCAGCAGTTCCATTTTAATTCTGCTCTGGACATCCCCAGGAGGTGGACACCATGATTAGTGTCCCTATTTCAAAGAGAAACAATCCGAGAAGGTGGAGCCACCGGCCCAGGTCTCGTGACTGGCCACCTCCACAGGACAGGGTTCCCTAAGCGGCGTGGTGTCACAAGACTTGGCGAGGACACAACACGCTGCAGGCTAACATGAATCCCCGAGGGACAAAACAGTCTGTCCCGAGGCTGGGACACAGAAAGTCACCTCTGCGTCAAACTCTGCTTTGATGTGACTTGGTTCTCCGTGTCACCTGCATTCATTCTGTGTGGCTCTGACTGTGCGCCAGGCCCTTTCCGCTCTTCTGGGAACGCGCAGCCAACACCGAGGCCACCTGAAGCCTGGGGGCTCACAAGGTGCTGGGAGGGGGCGGGGGCGGGGCTAGAAAGGGGGCGGGCCTCAGCCGAGGGCTCCTGGGTGGGAGTCTCAGTGCCAATCAACCCCGTCTGGAATCTGGTTCGCGTGCGTGTCACTCGTGTTCGTGGACCCTGGTTGTGGGCCGACCACGTGGATGCTGGGAACTGACCCCGGTCCTCAGCAAGAGCGGTCGCTCCAGCCCCTCGGTTTGTATTTGAGACAGGGTTTCTCTGTGCAGCCCAGGCTGGCCTCGAACTCACAGACATCCCTAATGCCGGCATGGCACAGGCCAGCAGAGCTAGCTTTTATTTTTCATTAAGAAAATTTTTTAGCCGGTCAGTGGTGGCTCACGCCTTTAATCCCAGCACTTGGAGGCAGAGGCAGGTGGATCTCTGTGAGTTCGAGGCCAGCCTGGGCTACAGAGTGAGTTCCAGGAAAAATGCAAAGCTACACAGAGAAACCCTGTCTCGAAAAACAAAAAACAACAACAAAAAAAAAAAAAGAGTTTTTAAATTTTATTTATTTTTTCCATGTGGAGGTCAGCGGACAACTTGGGGGAGTTGGTTCCCTGTGGGTCCTGGGACTGAACTCAGGTCCTCGGGCTTAGCCGCAAGCCCCTTTACCCTCGGAGTCCTGTCTCCCATGTTGTCTGTGAGTTAATGACTGTGTCTCACTCTGAAGTCCAGACAGGCCTGGGAGTCCCTGCAGGTCCTGGGATCCCAGACCTGTGTGTCACTGCGTCCCAGACAGTTCTGACCTTTCTTCCCGCCTCTCAGCTCTGGAAACCTCATCCTGGGCCCCACCCGGTCCACGAAGGGGGTCAGTTCTCTCCCAGCACCCCACGACTGGCGGAGGGGCAGGGGAGGGGCTCATTGCTCATCCTGTCCCTAGGGGGTTGCCCAGCCCTGGAGCAGGAAGCAGCAGAGCTCAGAGAGATCGATTCGGACCAATTAGCGTCCCCCCAACTGAGTGACACCCCCCTAGCCCGAAGCCTTACCAGACGGACGCCCCAGAGGCTCTGGCAACCCACGATCCCTTCCAAAGACCCAACACAACCTCTCCCCCAAACCCACGGCACGCAACTTGAAGGCCAGCCCTCCACCAGGGACCGAGACTTGGCTCCCCGCCCTCGTCCCCGCTGCACATCTGCAGAACCCACGGGGGGTTTCCTCTCTCTGCGGTCCCTATTTTTTCCCTAGGCTGTTCCCACCCCACCCCCTCTCTGACTGTTGTTCCCAGGACCCTGGGAGTGGGTGGGGTCAGCAGCTTCCGGGGGCAGAAACCGAGACCCTCCGTGCTCTCGGGGAGTGCGCGCTCCCGGCTCGAGCACGCACGCACGCACGCGCGCACGCACATGGGAGGCCAAACTTGAGATCACCGGGCGTACGAGTGCGTGGGAGTGACGTTTATGCCTTCGTGTACACAGTAGGAGCGCCATAAATGCTTCTCTGCTGGCTCCAGGGCGGCGCGGAAGGGCCGAGCTCAGCACTCCCCGCAGGAAAAGATGAAGGCCGAGGCTGACTCTTGCCTCACACTGACGGGTTACTAGAGCCAGGAGAGCCCAGCCAACTGTGACTCAGTTTCCCCACCCATAAAAGGGAAAGTGCAAAGGCCCTCCCACGTGGTAAGGTGACCTCCATGGGCTGCAGAGAACTCAGCAAACAGCGAGTTGCTTCCAGAACCCTCATTACGGCTTGCAGCCACCCCACCCTCTCGCCAGACACTCTGGGGGTGGAGCGGGGCTCTAACCCAGACCCCAGACGCCCCTCCCGCCCTCCCCAGTAGGCAGGAGTCCCGGGTTCCTTGGTCCTTAAATTGGATAATTGGAGACAGAGGCGGCTGCCGGAGTCACAGACAGTGCTAGTGGGCGACTGTGCAGGCGCTTGGCCCCCTCAGGATCCCCAACCTGGGGTCACCACGACCCTCTCCAGCGCCCGTCCCGAGTGCGCCTTGGGCGCACGCCGCCGACCCCCTCCGGAGAGCGCCGGTGCCAGCCTCACTCTGGTGCCCGCCAGGCCGGGTGTCTGCGGCCCGCAGGGGTGGGGGGTCCGCCCCGGCGGCGGGAGGGCGGGGCGTAGGCACAGACCCTCCCTTTGTGAGCGGCGCCTTCCCTGGGACGCCTGGCGCTCAGGGCCGGGCAGGGAGCCAGCGCAGGAAAAGCCCTGGGCCGCGTGCCCCAGCCCCAGCGGCTTGGCCTGCCCCGGGGCCGTCCCGGAGAGCCTACTGTGTGCAGACCCTGAGCTCAGGCAAAGCGCAGGACCTACTGTGTGCGGCCCCTGAGCTCAGGCAAAGCGCAGGACCTACTGTGTGCGGCCCCTGAGCTCAGGCAAAGCGCAGGACCTACTGTGTGCGGCCCCCAAGTCATGCAAAGTGCAAAGCCTACTGTGTGCAATCCCAGTGTTCACGCATAATCTACCGTGTGCAGCTCCTGAGTGCACGCAGAGTGCAAAAAACTACTCTGTGCAACCCCTGAACAAATGCAGGACCTAAGCGTTCAGCCCCCGAATGCTTACCGCACGTGCTGTGTTTAACCCTTGTACTGTCTGCCGCTCCTCCCCGAGTTTGTGTGCAGTCTACTGTGTTCAGCTCCCGGATTCCTGGAGATCCTGTGTATAGTCCCCCGAGCACTGTAGACTCCACTGGGTGCAGTCCCTGAGCACATTCAGGGCCTTGTATGTGCAGCCCCGTTCTCTGTGTGTACACACGCGTGCCTGTTGTGACTCCCGGGTGCATGCAGAGGCCGCGGTGTGTAGCTGCTTCACGGCACGTGAAGCCTGCTGTTTGCAGCCACCCATATGCCACACTCAGCTCCTACTGTGTCCACGCACTGGCAGGCTACACACAGCACCCCCCGTGTGCAGGCATCCACACATCCGCACACCAGCGGAGAGGAGACCACATGTAGAAGCTCTGTTGCTAGGCACAGCAGAACCAGACAGCGATCTGCTGAGCCTCTCCTGTCACCAAATGTCCCTGCCTGGGCCAGCACTCGTGTGTAAAACTCCCAGGATGTGCATCACATGCAATGACCAGGCCTGAGGTGGAGATGTCCCTAAGTTTAAATGTCCACTCTGGGTGGAGTGTAGCTCAGGAAATATACATGTGCTTTGCACAGGCCGACTGCCCTTGAGCTCAGGAAAATAAAAACAACCAGTAGTCTCTACACTTCCGGGTTCTGTCGTCGGGGGAGAGCTGCCTCGTTTGAGTCTGGTTCTAACTTTGAGGGGTGCACCATACTCTTGGAGATGTGGCTGGAGATGGGGTGCCACCTCCCATGGGCCTGGAAGGTGGATTCAGACATGCTGGGGTGTGGGGTGGGGGTTGGGCCTCCAGGCTTCTTCCAGGAAGCCCCAGAGGCAGGTGCAAGGGCAAACAGTCTCCGTGGGCAGGGTGCCAGTCCTTGGCTTCCCTGAAACTGGGCACAGCAGCTGGGAGAGGTTTCCGGGGCCTGCCCAGCCCCACCTGGCCTGGGGCACTCTCGGAGATGGGCGGGCCTGGCAGGCGGGCATCCAGAAGGCACCGTGCCTGAGCAGGTCTGCACAAGAAACAGAGGCCGGACCGAGTGTGTACTCTCAAGGAGTCCGCGAGGGTGGGGATGCCGCGTCCTGCATCCTAACGCCCGTGCTCAAGTGTGCACGCCACCCTCAGCTGTCCGCTAACACACCTGCAGGTCCCGGGGTGCCGCACACTTCCCAGGCAAAGACAGCTGGGGATCTGGGAGAAACCAGCAGATCTCCCAGTTCTGGGTGGCTTATTAGCACTCGGTAAATATTTGTTTAATGAACCGGTACAAGAATACACAGACATTTCAGTTTGTAATGTGCCGTAATTATGCACCGGCACTTGTACATCAAAAAAAAAAAAAAAAAGCCTTGGAACGAACAGTCTGAGCACGTAAGCACCTACCTACACTTCAACTCCCCGCTGGCAGAAACCAGAGCCAGGTGCACCCAAGGGTCTCCTCCTCTGCTCCATCTCTCACTGTCCTGAGTTCCGCCTCCCCTGGTCTTTTCTCCAAGGCCACTGGGCCCCCGGCCTGGGTCTGGAGGGACATTTAGGGTGTGATTAGTCTCACACTCCCTGCGAGTATTTAAGTATTTTCATGATTCGAGATTTCCTTTGCTTGCAGAACATTCCAGAAGAGAACAGCCAGCATCGGCGTGAGGAGGTCTGGTTGTCAAAGTCGGATGGGGTCCATGTCTTGGGAAACTGACATCCAGGCACCATCAGAAGCCTCTTCTCATTTCACAGTGGGGAAACTGAGGCCCCAAGAGGGAAGGATCTCCCTGTCCTGCGGGCAGGGAGGGGCATCTGGTAGGGGCCCTGCTGGGAGGACAGTGGTGAGGCCCTGGGGGAGGCTGAGATCCGGAGTGGGGAAGAGAGGATGGGGCTGGGGCCTCCCTCCTCACACCCAGAATCATCTTTTCTTTCCTTCTCCTTTTACTTTAAAAGTGTTTTAAATTTCACTTATTTTGCGAGGAATGCAGAGGTGCCACTGCATGGGTGTGGATGGCAGAGGGTTAACTTTCAGGAGCTACTTCTGGCTTTCTCCTTCTCCTGGTAACTGGCTGCTCCTTCCATCTGTCTGCTGGGGACCTGCACACCATGGATAGAAGGAGCCCAGGTCACTCAGCCATCCCCACCTCCCAGGACCCACATAGAAACGAAAGGGTCCCCCCTCCAAGTGACCACAGCAAGGTCAGCCCGGACCCCGCCTGGGCTCTCCTTTCCTGCCAGGGGAACTGACTGTGAAGGGCCGGGGAGACCCAGACAGGCTGCAGACACCCTGGGATGTGCTCATCTTTCCAGCCAGGCCGTCTCACCCTGACGGTAATTAGATCCCAGACGAGTGAGTGAGGAGACAGTGAACGGCCGCCAGTCATCGTGGCGGCCCCACGCCCACAGGCTCGGGGCACCTGCAGGGTGTGTGCGCGTGTCCAGTCAGGGGAGGGGATACTTTGGGGGACCTCCTCTCCATTCCTGCCCCCTCAGATCTTGAATTAGGCTAGGGCTTGGAAGGGTCTCACGTAGCCCAGGCTGGCCTCAGACTCACTGTACAGTCTAGGATGACCTTGAACTTCCAACCCTCCTGCCTCTATCACCCATGCGCTGGTGCGACAGGCGGGCACCGGGCTCAGCTTGTGTAGTGGTACTGCCTGGGGGGTGGCTGAGTGTCCACTTGTCCCTCACTCACCGCAAGCCTGCGGCTGCACAGACCCCACAATGCATCCCGCGCGGGATCACTGCCCGCGTGAGTTTCGGGGATGTCACAAACTCACGGGTGCTTGCACTCCCCCGGGGCACGCGGGCACCAGGGCACCAGGACGCTGGCTTTGCAGCAGTTAGAGGGCGAGGCCACGCCCCCGGCCCCGGCCACGCCCCTGGCCACGCCCTCCGCGCCTGGAGCCCGCAGACCTGCGCGGGCGGGCGTCACGGGTTTCCACCCGGGCCGGGATTCCCTGGCCGAGAACGCCCGTGACGGTGGCGCCGGCTTGCGTGGGCCACGCTGGACCCGGGCTCGGATGACATCAGCCCTACTTTTGATTCTGCGCGGGCCGGGCACATGGACGGAGAAATAGAAACCGTCCGCGGCTTTGCCTTTGTGTCTTCCGGGGTGCATGTGTGCATTCGAGCGCCTAAGACGGCTGTGGCCTGGAGCTATGTGAGCCTCGTTTCATGTATGGGGAAACTGAGGCTGTGTCCTGCCTGCCTTGCCAACTCATGTCTGTGGCCACAGGATCGCAAGCTGAGGTCTTGGGCACCTGATCCAGGCTTATTTCGGGCCGGAAATATCTTGATCCCAAAGCCGGTAGGGCTGGGTCGGGCTCCGTGGGTACAGTGCCTTCCTGGCTGAAAAAGAAAAAAAAAACCTGGGTTGCATCCCCAGCAAGCACAAACCTGCTGACATAGTAACATAGTGATGCAAGCCTCTCATGCCAACAGCTCAGGAGGCTGAGGCAGGAGAATTGCTGTGAGCTTGAAGCCACCTGGAGCTATGTAAGGGACCCTGTCTCCAAAAGAAAACAAACAAACCAACCAGGCCTGAGGTTGAAGTTCAGTGTGCTGGCTCCCGCCCTGGCACCCCTCGCCAGGGTGAAGCACACACGCTTGCTTGCCGTCCCAGCCCTGGGGAGAGTCCGGGGTGTCAGGGGTCAGCTACAGAATGAGTGTGAGCTGAGCCTGGGCTCCCGGAGACCCTGTCTCCAAACGACCACGCCAACACCCTCTGCAGGGCGGCCCCCTCCCCTTCATCGCCCAGCTCCATTCTGCACAAGCTGGCTCAGAGAGGGTCTTGGGGGGACCTGGCTCCACACAGCACAGCCGTGGCCAGCCCTGTAACCCGGCGCTGACTGCTCTCCATTGCTGGCCTTTGCTGCGGCCTGAGGCGGTGCCCACACGGGAGCCAGAATGCCTGGCCGGCCTGCCTGGTCGGGTGGGGTGTGCCCACTGGCTCCCGCTGACTCCGAGGCAGACAAGACTCTAAATATAGCCTGGGAGGAGGTGAGAGCTATTTTTAGCCTGGGTGGCTTGGGCCCTCCCAGTTCCCAGGTCAGCAGTCTTGAGGCCAGCCAGGACCTGGGCAGGAGGGAGCAAGTTTGCTTCCTTTTCTGGGGTCCCCACACTCTGTGCAGGCTTGGGGACAGCGGCCCTGGGGAGGGGGGCTGGGAAGGGTCCCCTGGGCACCTCTCTCAATCCTGCGCTCTCTCCTGCCGGCCCTGGCCTTCTGCTGGGCCAAACACGCTGCTTTCTATTTGGAGACACGTAGTACTTTCCATGGCTATTTTTAGCTGCATTGGGAACTCCACCACCCAGCCGGGCTGGCCGGCCTCTCCTCCTCCTCCTCCTCTTCCTCCTCCTCCCAGCTGGCTGACCCTAGGCTGGTCTCACACATCACACAGAGGCGGGCACAGCCTCAGGGAGGGACATCCCCGTGTCCTCTGATGGGGGAAGGGTGTGCCCAGGATTCCAGTGAGCAAACCCTTCCAGCCTCCAGGAATCCGTGACGCCCCACACCTAAAATCCACCTCCAGGACAGGGTGGGGCTCCCCCTGGCTCTAACCTTTCACCTCATTCTGGGGATGTCACGAATGCCCAGCATCTCTTTGGTGGGGGGATACCTTGTCCTCATAGGTGGGCTGCATGGTCAGGGTAAACTGAGGCATAGAAAGTGCTTGTGGATGGGGCAGGGAGAACATGGTTTTATTTCCATGGTTCTTCTTTCTTCTTCTTCTTTGTTTTTTGTTTGTTTGTTTGTTTGTTTTTGGTTTTTCGAGACAGGGTTTCTCTGTGTAGCTTTGCGCCTTTCCTAGAACTCACTCTGTAGCCCAGGCTGGCCTTGAACTCACAGATATCCGCCTGCCTCTGCCTCTCGAGTGCTGGAATTAAAGGCGTGCGACTCCTCCGCCCGGCGATACTACCTCTGACGCTGCACCTTGAGACAGTTTCTTCACCACTGGGGGTCTCCTTTCGGGATATGACCTGATTTTGTCAATGACCATATTTGATTCCTTGGAGTGGGATTCATGCAGAGGACTGAGCCAGGTCTCCGGAAGAACGCATGGAAGTTCAGCTAAATCCAGTACCTCCTAGTACTTAGTACTCTAGCACTTAACACTCCAGTGGTCAGTGCTCCAGTACCCTAGCCCAGCTGAGGGCAGCATCTGGGGTCCCCAGCCTCACTAATCTGTGAGTTTGAAGGGTGAGAGATCACAGAGCAGGAAACTGAGGCCCTGGAATGTGCTCCCAGGGTCTCATGACTGGTGACACACACCAGCACATGCTCCTGGCTGGCCCTTGGTGGTGACCTACGCCATGTCAGGGCTGTCCTGGTCATTCTGTAGCCATGCGGTCTCACTTGGCAGAGGCCTGAGTGGCCGACGGCTCACTCTGCCGTGGATGGCAGACCTGTCCTCAGTGTTCACACTCAGAATAACAGAATCTTGTTGTTTTGCTTTGTTTTGAGGCAGAGTCTTAATTATGTAGCCCCGGGGGAAGCAGAGCGGAGTGTGTATACTCTGGAACTTGTGGCTAGCCTCCTGCCTCTACCTCCAGAGTGCTTAGATGACAGATGTTCCACCTCGTTAAAATAATAGAATCTGGGGAGGGCAGCGATATGGCTGAGTCGGTAAAGCAATGGCTATGTGAGTTTGGAGCCCCAGCCCCCACATAAAGCTGGGTGCAGCAGCAGCTCCTGCCTGTAATCCCAGGAGACTCCTCGGCCCTTGGCTCCCGAGCAGCCCCAGGTCCTGGATGTCCCCCGACTCCTGAAGCTGCCCCTCAGCTGTTCCGAGCCTGGCTCCCGGAAGCAGGGTCAGGAGGCAGGGTGCTAAGGCCCAGCTGGGATCCCCGCCCGGGGCCCTGGCTTCGGGGAAAGGAAGCGGGCACCTTGCGCAGCCCCGGCAGGGCCCAAGACAGCGCATCTTCAGAGAAAACGGCCGGACGTGCAGAGGAAACTGCTGGCCAGATGCGGAAGTCAGAGCTGGTTCTGCCTCACCCGGGCTGGCCTCAAGCTCACTCTGAAGCCAAGGACGACCTCAGAGTCCTCCCCCTCGTGCGTTCACCTCTGGGACATTGTGATGGCCGTGGGCCAGCCTGGGAAGGTGGAAGATAGGGGTCGCCGCATTAAACACACTAAGCCAGAGTCCGGAAACCATGACCTCATCTTCTTGTATCCTGCCACACTACTGAAGGTGTTGATCAGCTGTAGGAGCTCCCTCGTAGAGTTTTTGGGGTCACTTATGTAGACTATCATCCATCTGCAAATGGTAAAAGGTTGGCTTCCTCCTTTCCGATTTGTATCCCCTGGATCTTGATGCAGGGGGAGGGGCTGGGACCTGCCTCACCTGAATGTACCAGGCTTTGCTGACTCCCCATGGGAGGCCTTACCTTTTGGGGGGGATGGGGAGTGAGTTGAGGAGGGAAGAGACAGGGATCTGTGGTTGGTGCGTAAAATGAATAAAAAATTTCTTAATAAAGAAAAAAGTTACCTGATCTTGTATATGAAATATAGATGTGAAAATATGATGGGGGGAGGTTCAGAGAGGGAAGGAATCAGTACTGGGGGGTAAGTGTGGGACAAGGGGGCGCCAGCCGAGTTCATGATGAAGAAGCGCTGAAAAGCTCAGGATTTTGTGACATTTATGGGAAAAAAGGATGACATGGGCAAAAAGGTGGCTCGGCCGTGAACCACACTTGTCACTGCAAGAGAGGACAGTTTTTTTTGGTTTTTTTTTTTTTTTTTTGAGCTGAAGATCAAAAGAAGCAGTTTTGTTCTTTGGTTTGTTTGTTTGTTTGTTTGTTTGTTTTCCCCGAGACAGGGTTTCTCTGTGTAGCTTTCTGCCTCCCGAGTGCTGGGGTTAAAGGCGTGCGCCACCACTGCCTGGCGGGAGGACAGTTTTGATTCCAAGCACTCACTCAGGCTCCAGGGAATAATCCAGCATCTCTGACCACAGAGGTCACCTGCCAAGAGTGGAGCCCCGCCCCAAATCCCCAGTGAGGGGCTGGGGGCGTGGTCAGGTTGGAGCCCCGCCTAGAATCCCCCAGTGAGGGGCTGGGGGCGTGGTCGGGGTGGAACCCCGCCCAGAATCCCCAGTGAGGGCTGGGGGCGTGGTCAGGGTGGGGCGTGGTCGGGGTGGGCCCCCTACACGGCATGCACAAGGCCTCGGGCTCTGTCCTTGAGGTCCTGAAACACGCCCTTAAGGCTGTAGCCCGAGGGTTGGGACGATCCTTGGGTGTGAAGAAGGGTCAGGGTGGCTGCCGCCCGCGGGGTCGGGACCCAGGGACCCTGCGCGCCTGTCGGCGGCCCGGCCCCTGCACGCAGGCTGCCCGCTGCAGTCCGACGTGAACAGGCGCTGGAGTTCTTCCCGGGATGATAAATCCCGGCGAAAGTGAGCGGGTGCATTCTCAGGCCGCCAGCCAGCGCGGCATTCCGTCACTCTTTCCACCGTAAACCCGGCCGGTTCCAAGGTCGGAGCCCCCCACGCGTCCTGCAGAGAGCGGACCTGCTGGGGACCCCCCCCCCGTGACCCTGCCCTCCGCTGGGAACGCCCCCCTCACCCCTGTGTCCCCTCAGCAGCTTTGGCCGGTGTGTTAAAGCTCTTTCTGCTGCTGTGATAAACGCCCGGAGAAGAGGCAACACCCCAGGGGATCCGGGTTCCAGCCTATCCCTGCAGGGTTCTCAGGGCAACAGGAAGTTGAAGCGGCCTTCGGATCAGAGAACAAGGCGGGGCCTCAGTTTCCCCTTTCTTATGGAGTTCAGGGCCATCCTGCGTGGGGAAAGGCGCGGCCTGGGCAGCTGGGTCTCCCCACGTCAGTGAAATCTGGAGGACCCCCGACGGGCACGCGCACAGGCCGGCCTGATCCAGACAGTCCCTCGATGGGACAATGAAATGGGTCATCGCAAGCACCTGCTGTGTGGAGAAGGTCTTGTCAGAGTCAGGGACTCGGTGCTGACTGTTCCTGGGAAGCCTTTTACTACATTATTTATTTATTTATTTATTTATTTATTTATTTATTTATTTATTTATTTATTTATTTATTTATTTATTTATTTATTTATTTATTTGTGGGGGAGAAAAGTGTTTATTAGCGGCCCCTGACTTTAATCCCAGCATGTGGGGGAGAGAGGCAGGCAGACCTCTGTCAGCTCCAGGCCAAATTGGTCTGCTTGGTGAGCTTGGGGTCAGTCAGCGAAGCAGGGTGAGAACTTGTCTCAAAAAGTTTTGGCTTTTGTTTTGATTACATTTTTATTTTGTTGAGACAGAGTTTCTCTGTGCAGCCCTGGCCGTCCTGGATCTCGCTCTGTAGACCAGGCTGGCCTCGAACTCAGAAATCCCCCTGCCTCTGCCTCCCGAGTGCTGGGATTAAAGGTGTGCGCCACCACCTCCTGGCTTATTACTTTTTAAAATTTATTTATTTGTGTGGGGACCAAATAAGCTTATTGGGACTACGTGGGTAGCATTTGGGGACCAGATGCCCTGACAGCCTGCCAGGGCATGGCTAAGGACTTGGCTGTGTGGCTGGGGGACAAGAGTAGCCTCCTCTTACCATACAATTGTTTCTTCTTCACAGAAGCCCCAGCCCGGGCTTCGTGGGCCGCATGCGCCCGAGGTGTGCAATTTTCATAAGGTTCCCTGTGAGTCTCAGGAGCGGCCCCTTCTCTCCCAGAGAGGAGATGTATGTGACTAGGAACGGGAGAACAGGAAAGTCGGCTCAGGAAGTGCCACCCACCACAAGTCCTGCCCGTGACAGCTGGGTGACAGCTGGGTCTCGGTATCCGGGAAAGCTTTTCCTCACTCCAGTCCCATTGTGGAGGCCGCCATGCCCTCCCCGTGTGGATCCACACCCTGGGGTAGGGACTGAGCTGCATCTGCAGAGGTGGGGGCCTGGCATTCTGAGTGGCACCCAGCATGGCTCGTAGCTCAGCTTACTTTGGGGTGTTTGTATGTGGAGGCCAGAGGGTGACATCGACTGTGTTCTTCACCTTGTTTTTGGAGACACGGTCTCTCCCAGAGCCCAGGCTCACTGATGGGGCTAGACTGGCCGGCCGGCCCTCTCCACCCCCCAGTGCTGGGGCAGAGTGTGTGTTACTGTGTCTGCTTTTTAACTTGGGTGCTGCGGATTTGAACTCAGGTCCTCATGCTTTTGTGCAAACACATACCCCACTGAGTTCTTGTGAGGATCTCCACCCGTGGTGTGGGCCGACCCTCTCTTTCAGCCTCGCTTGGCGTGTGGGGTGCCAGAGCACACAACAGGAACCCTGTTGCCTTGAGATTGGGAACTCCAGTGACAGCTACCCATGAGTCGACCCTGCCGCTGGGGTGGGACTGCCCAGTGGGCAGCTCCCTGAGTGGCCTATGCCCCTGGACCATGCCAGGTGTGACAGTGCATTCCTGTCATCCTCGCACTGCAGAGGCAGGAGGATCACAAGTTTGAGGCCAGCCTGAGGTACACAGTAAGTCCCAGGATAGCCAGGGTTAGACAGAGAGGCCCTGACTCTAAATAAATAAATAAATAAATAAATAAATAACCAAAATAAGTAAAATGCCTTCAGGAAAATAATTTTTTGTTTGTTTGTTCTTTGGTTTTTGGTTTTTGGAGACTGGGTTTCTCTGTGTAGCTTTGGTGCCTTTCCTGGAACTCACTCTGTAGACCAGGCTGGCCTCGAACTCACAGAGATCCGCCTGGCTGTGCCTCCCGGCTTAAGAATAATTTTTTAAAAGCCTCATTGGCTTACAAAGCTATTTTGGAGCTGGGCAGTGGTGGCGTGCGCCTTTAATCCCAGCACTCGGGAGGCAGAGGCAGGCGGATCTCTGTGAGTTCGAGGCCAGCCTGGGCTGCAGAGCGAGATCCAGGACAGCCAGAGCTACCCAGAGAAACCCTGTCTTAAAAACAAACAAACAAACAAACAAAAAGCTATTCTGGCAGGAACCTGTAGCAGGAATCTTAAAAGTTCTTATTAATAAAATCAAACCTGAGGCCAGTTATTGGGGTCAATGCTGGTAGATCAGAGAGACAGAACAAGCCACAGCTATCTCACCTCGCCGGATCCTCAGCTGGTCTTGTCTCCTCAGACTGGAAGCTTCTGTGTCCTCATCCAGAATGGGTCTCAGCTGAATTACTGCTCAAAAGCCTGAAGCTTAACCAGGCCAAATGCTTAACCAGCCAAATGCTTCTAGTTCCTGGTCTTCATGCCTTATATATCTTTCTGCTTTCTACCACCACTCCCTGGGATTAAAGGCTTGCTTTCTGGGATTAAAGGCATGTGTCACCATGCTTAGCTATTTCCAATGTGGCCTTGAACTCACAGAGATCCAGAGGGATTTCTATCTCTGGAATGCTAGGATTAAAGGTGTGAGTGCCACCATTTTCTAGCCTTTGTATCTAGTGGCTGTCTGTTCTCTGACCCCAGATAAATTTATTAGAATACACAATATTTTGGGGAACACAATACCACCACAGGAACCTGTCTTTGGTCTGTCCGTGTTCTGTCTGGGTGACAGACATCTGTCTGTCTCTAATGTGTGGGTGTTGCCTGTTTATTGTACACTCTGTGCCTGCAGTGCCACGGAGGCCAGAAGGGGGCGTTGCATCCCCTGGAGCTGGAGTCACAGGGCTTCTGGACCCTCTACAAGAGGAGAAGTACTGGTAACCTCTGAGCCATCTCTCCAGCCACCTCCACCCTCCACCTCATCTAGGATTTTCCAAGGCCTTGAACTCACAGTAATCCTCCTGCCTCCACCTCCTGAGCTCCCACACCTGTCAAATAGACATTTGCTTACATTTCCCTGGTAAAAGCCCTGAGATTGTGGTGGCCTTGGGGCCCTGGATGATCTAGAATGCTCAGGACCCTCTGGTCATGTTCTTCGGTTCTACACAGGCCCCCAAGCTCTGGGCTCTTCCGTTAAGGTGTGGGCATCTTTGGGGCTGGGGCCTGATGATCACAGCCTTCTTCCAAGGGTCACCTGCTGCCTGTAGACTCCCACTGTTCTCTGTGTGAAGCTGTTTCACTGAGCACAGAATGTTCCTGAGTCACCCTGTGCCAGCTGCATGTCCCTTCCCATGGCTGAGTGGCATCCTATGGTATGAGCATGTTTTCTTTCTCTGTTCACCTATGGCCGAATGCCTGACATGCTTCCAGACTTTGTCTCTTAGGAGCTGCTCAGAACATTCCTTTCTTTCTTAAAAAAAAAAAAAATCTGCTTTCAGTTATGTGTAGCACGTGTGTGTCTGTGGGTGGCATGTGGGTGGCAGTTCCCACAGAGGCCAGAAGGGGGCGTCGGCTCCCCTACAGCTGGTGTCATAGGCAGTGTGAGCCATCATGTGGGCGCTAGGAACCAAACCCAGGTCTCCTGAAAGCATCGAGCTTTTAATATCTCGGCCATCTCTCCGGCCCTGATCATTTCTTTCCACATTTGTTCATTTGCTGAATTGTTTATTCTTGAAACGGCGTCTCACTGTGTAGCCCAGGCTGGCCTGGAAGTCATCATCCCCTGATCCCTGAATATGAGGTCACGGGCAAATGCCTGACTTTCCGTTGTTCTAGGACTTTTTGCATGTGTGTTTTCCTTTCTCCCCGGTGAGCAGCTGTGAGCAGAGCTGTGGACCGAGGAATCATGGGAGGTGAGGGAATGCTGTGCTTTCTCCAGAGGTGGGGGCCACAGCATCACAGAGCCACCCACATCCTCGCCATGCCCTCATCTCCCATGTTACAGCTCTAAAGTTACTTATTCAGACTGATACAGGGTGAGGCTTTTGCCTTATTGTTTTACCTATATATCCATCCATCCACCATCTATTGATCCACTTCTCTAACTATTATCTATATCTATCCATCCACCATCTGCTACATACCTACCTAGGGTCTACTCAACATCTATCTCTTTATTTATCCATCCATCTAGACAGGGTTCCATTCTTTCTTTTTAAATTTAATTTGTTTGTTTATTGTCTTTCAAGACAGGGTTTCTCTGTGTAGCCCTGGCTGTCCTGGAACTCACTCTGTAGACCAGGCTGGCCTCGAACTCAGAGAGATCCACCTGCCTCTGCCTCCTGAGTGCTGGGATTAGAGGTGTGTGCAGCCAACTGCCCAGCTTAATTTTATTTATTCATTTCATGTGCATGGGTGTTTCCTGTATGTATGTCTGTCGGTGCGTCACGTGAATGCAGCGCCCATAGAGGTCAGAAGGAGGTGTCAGATCCCCTAGAATTGGAGTTGGATTTGCAGACGGTTGTGAACCACCATGTGGTACTGGGAATCGAACTCTGGTCCTCTGCAAGAGCTCTAACCATTGTGCTGTCTCTCCAGCGCCAGGGTCCCATTCTATAGCCCAGGCTAGCCTGGAACTCCAGATCCTCCTGCCTCAGCCACCCAAGTATTGCCTCTGCATCTCGTTTCTCCACGCGGCTGTGGTCCCCCCGCCCCTGTCGTGGGAAAGCTCACACAGAGCCCTCTAGCACCCTTCGCGTCTCTGGGGAGTTGTTGTGGAGGGAGTGTGAGCCCATGGGCGTGTGTCCGTGACTCACCAGCGTGTTCACTTGGCCCAGGGATGCTGCTGTCATTGTCTCAAAGCATCAGACACTTCCGGAAATGTGCCCTGTTCTCTTTTGTCCTGAGTCTTCCCGGCACTTTGTAAACTGCCGCCTCCACTCCCCCCCCCCCTCCTCCACTCCCCGCCCCCCCCTTCTAAACTTCCTGCAATTCCTGTCCTCTTCACTAGCCTGGGAAGGCTGGCTGGGAGAAGTCATGGCTGATGTCACACAGTGTGACATCCTGCACGGAGGAGCCTGTCTGCTTACATACAGAGCGGGGGTGGGGGGAACGGGGCTGACCCTCCCCTGCTCCTCAGCTGGACCCTGAGAATACGGCCCAGGTGAGTTTACGAGGAGGCCATGGTCCCTCCGAGGCAACCGCAGAGCACATTAAATGGTGGCAGAGCCAACAACACAGACTCTTCCCGCTGCAGTCTGCTCTCCCTCCCCGCCCTGCTGTCCTGAGCTCACCCCTGAACCTCAGGTCATAATGCGAACAGCAGCAGATAAACGTCTGCCTCACGCTAGGCCTCCCTGGGAGCCAGGCTGCAGGTTGCTGCTGCTCACCGGCCCCAAAGACCACGTCATCCGCGCCCTCAGGCCTGCGACACAGCATCTCTCTGAGCAGACAGACTTCGCAGATGGGCTAAGCAGAGGACCCTGAGCTGGGGACCATCCTGGATCATCCAGGGCTTGCTGTCAACCATCAGGTCCCTGGAAAGAGGCAGGAGGACGGACTGCGGCCAAGGATGCCTGCGTTGACCCTCTGACCCCACAACTGTCCAGGGGTAAAAGGTCTTTTATTTTTCACAGCGCTGGGATGGAACCCAGGGCTTTGCACAGCAGATGTGAGTCGTCTTCACCGAGCCGTGTTCTGAGCCCTGACTGGGCCGCTCTAGGCAGGTATGCAGTGTGTCAACACAAAACCAGAGGCCACGGTGGAGCTCGGTGGGCGGAGCCCTCACTCAGCGGGAACAGAAAAGCCCAGGCTCCCATCCCCAGCACTACATGAACCAGGCATGGCGGCCACACCTATCACCCAGATCAGGAGTTCAAGGTTAGCCCTTGCTGTACAATGAGTTCGGAGCCAGCCTGGGCTACATGAGACCCTTGTCTCAAAACAAAACACTTCCGTGTGCAGATCTGTCATCCACCAGGACTGAACCTCGCTCCTCCCTCACCCCAGGCCCTGTGGATGGAATCCCTGAAGGAAGGGGGTGTGGATGATTGGCCATAGTCCATCACCTGAGCTGTCCCAGCCAGGGAGAGAAACCAAGCGTCTGGAGTCAGGTAAAAGGAAGACTGAGCCTTTATTATGGAGGATTCACATCGCCGTGACCCTCATTCCACACAATATTAAACACTGCCAGAGTGGGTGTGGCACAACAGAATTCTTTTTTAAAATCAGAAATAAAAACCAAGTCACAATGCAGACAGAAGAGGGGAGCCGGGGCCTGGTGTGGAGTGCAGGAAACAGAAGTGCCGCGTGACGTCCCGTGACGTCGGGCCATTGTGTCTGAGACGCCCGCTCAGAGGGCGCCTATGGCTTCTGCTGAGGACGAGGGAGGGCTTGGCGGCTTCTCCTTGGGCTGGAAGTCTCTCCTCGGTCACCAGGAGGAAGCAGATCTCACTGTTTTTCCCCTTTTCTTCCTTTTTTAGACTGTGTCTCTATAGCCCTGGCTGTGCGGAACTTGCTCTGTAGACCAGGCTAGCCTCAAACTCACAGAGACTCATTAGCCTCGGCCTTCAGCAGGGGTTAAAGGTGTGCGCCAGCCACCACAGCCCGGCTCCTGATTGCTGTTGTGTCCTGGCTTCTCCAAGCCCAGGCAGGGCTCTGGTGGCTGGGATGGGACCTGGGGACTATTCTGGGGCCCAAGGTCCATCCTGGAAACAGTGGTAAAGCATGTCCCACCTTCCTTGGGGAACGAGAGGCCACTTTTGCCCTTGGTCTGTGGGTCACCTGGGGAGGGGCAGTTGGAGGTTCAGGCATACATGTTGATTTGATTTCCCCCCCCCCTAGAGTGGAGAGATGAAAAGGTGCTTCCACCAAACACTGGCCATGACTTCCGCTGCCAGCAACCCCACCTGAGGGAGGCAGTGGAAGCAGGAACGGCGAAAGAGCACGCTGAGTTTTCTGGTTTTGAGACATGGTCTCCTGTAGTCCAGGCTAGCCTTGAACTCATCATGCAGCAGAAGATGACCATGAAGTCCTGATCCTCCTACCTCCACCTCCGCAGTGTGCCCCGGCCTGGGTGCCGTGAGCTGGGGATGGAAGCTAGGCTCTCTGGCATGCTAGGAGTGCTCTGCCCACTGGGCCGCCACCCCGGTCCCCAGCACGTGCTTTTTTCTCTCTTTGCTAGTGAGGCTGGGTACACACACCCTGGGGCCCCGGTTCCCACTCTAACGCAAGGTGGCTGTAGTTTTGGGGAGACACAGTGGCTTTTCTGATCCCAACACTGGTTTGGGGAGTCAGGTTCCCCAATGTCCCTGACCCCCCTTGACCAGTCATGGGGAGCCGATGCACGGGAGGGGTCTGACCTTAAGTCTGTGCCCTCTGGGAGCCAGCCCAGGGAGGGGGAGACGGGGATCCCCTCTTAGCACCTACAATGTCTCCCCTTAGTCTCACTGCAGACGTCTCTCCCTGGCACCGTCAGAATGAGTTGGGGGCCCTGACACCTTACCTAGGAGGTAGGCTGTGCCTGGAGGGCTGGGACACGAGGCGGCGTGTGTGAGCCCCATTCCCTTTCCCCGGGGGCAATTTGGGCAGCTGTCCAGGGACCAGCCTGGTGCAGCTCTTGGAAGCTGATTCCCACCAGGGCCGTAGGACATAACTGGACTGGCCTGAGGCAGCAGGGCTCTCTCGAATCCATCATCACCCTGGTGCTTAGGATGCCTGTGAGGTATGGCGGCAGTCCACGCTGGCACAGCCAAGCCTCTTCAGGGGCCGCCTGTGCTGTTACTGCCGTGTGTAGAGAGCAGGTCGTCTTCACAGCCAACCCGATGCCGGGCAAGGAAGCAGAGACCTGTCATGCAGGTACTCTGGAGGCAGAGGCAGGAAGATCTCCAGTTCCAGGGAACAAAATAAAAACAGTGGAGGGGTGGAGCCCCTGCCTAGAAAATCCCAGTGAGGGGCTGGGGGCGTGGTCAGGGTGGAGCTCCGCCCAGAATCCCCCAGTGAGGGGCTGGGGGCGTGGTCAGGGTGGAGCCCCACCCAGAATCCCCCGTGAGGGGCTGGGGGCGTGGTCAGGGTGGAGCCCCGCCTAGAATCCCCCAGTGAGGGGCTGGGGGCGTGGTCAGGGTGGAGCCCCGCCTAGAATCCCCAGTGAGGGGGCTGGGGGCGTGGTCAGGGTGGAGCCCTGCCTAGAATCCCCCAGTGAGGGCTGTGGGCGTGGTCAGGGTGGAGCCCTGCCTAGAACCCCCAGTGAGGGCTGTGGGCGTGGTCAGGGTGGAGCCCTGCCTAGA